GGAGCCAAGTTGGCCCTCCACAATTTAAGCCCTGAAAGTCAAAAAGAATTGGAAATAATTGAAAATGAATTATTAGACATCATCGCTACCATCAAAGTAAATATTGATTACCCTGAATATGACGGAGTGGAATATTTAACCGGTCGAAGGGTTTTGCCAAGGATAACTAAATTGGTCAAAAAATTACAAATTATCCAAAAAACCGGGCAAAAAACTCGGGTCTACCAGGAAGGATTAAAAGTGGCTATTGTGGGCAAGCCTAATGTAGGTAAATCTACCCTTTTGAATGCTCTGCTTCAAGAGGAAAAAGCTATTGTTTCTCCGGTAGCAGGAACCACCCGAGATATAATTGAGGCTCGTTATAGCCTAAATGGAATTCCGTTAATTTTACTGGATACTGCCGGCATTCATGAAACCACCGATATCGTGGAAAAAATTGGAGTTGAACGCAGTTGAAAAGCCCTCTCCCAAGCAGAAATTATTCTTTTTTTGGTGGATAACTCAGGTTTGTGAGGTTCAGAAGAAGAAAATATTTTTTCTCGCGTTAAAAATAAAAATTGTCTAATTATTATTAACAAAATAGACCAGAAAAATAAGTTACAACTGCCAAACTTCATTTTGCCGGACAAGATTTGCCGAATTAGTGCCAAAAATAAACAATTAACCGAATTAGAAGCCAAAATTAGTCAATTGTTTGCCAGCGATTTAGTAAATAAAACTTCCCCTTATCCCTATTTAAGTCAAAGTTGACAGCAGGCCAAACTGGCCAATCTCATTCGGCAACTACAAACCGTAATTAATGAATTAAAAAAAAGGAACTTATTTAGATGCTTTGTGCGGCGATTTAGAAATCAGTTATAAATTGGTCCAGGGATTAAGCGGTAAAGAATATAATGGAGAATTATTGGATATCATTTTTAGTAAATTTTGCTTGGGAAAATAAATATTAGCAAGGAAAAAATATGGAATGTTCTGATAGAGAATAAACGAGGATATTTTTGTTCTTTTAGGACTAAAATTAAAAAATTTGCGTTTATCAGAGACCATTTTCATGTAAAATTATAATGATGACTAAAATTAGAGAATAAATCTACTTCAGCCGCCAAAAATCTCCTTTGGCGGCAGGCTATTCTTAATAATTGAGACTAAAAAGTTTGAATTATTAATAACATGTCCCTTGCGTCTAAATACGATTTTAATTTAACCGAAAAAAAAAACCCAAAAACGAATTATTGGAAACAAGTAGCCACCAACACCACCACTAATTTTGCTAGCACTTTGCTGCTTCCGCCCCCAAACATTACTGGTAATTTGCATTTAGGACACGCATTTGAGTTGGCTATTCAAGATTTTTTGGTGCGTTGGTCTTATCTTAACCAGCAACCAATTTTTTGAATTGCTGGCATAGACCATGCCGGAATTTCTACCCAGAGCAAGATTGAAAAATTAAATCTTCCGGAACTTGACACCGACCAAAAAAAAAGAAAATATAC